CGCTACAATAGATTTCCAGGTACCTATAATTACTCAGGGTAATTTTTCGTCAACTTCTGGAACAAGTTAACCTTAAAACGTGATAAATGATCACTAGGAAGTTTCAAAATACTTTCCTAGTGTTCAGGTCGTTTTCATAAACTTTTTCAGGGAAGTTTGTGTTAAACAGCTCAATCGTTTACGAGAAGCAATTATCATATTACCTAAACTCAGTCAAAATCAAATATCTACAATTAACCTTAAAATATTTGCTCCTAGGTCAATTGATTTTTATCAACTGTCTCCGTCAAATTAAATATAAATCAGTTAATTATTTATTCCATGTAATTTCAAACAAAAAGTTTTTATCATAATTAAAATTTTTTCTTCTGATTATTTATTTATCAATTTATATTTATAGTTTTAATTCTTGAAAAACAACTAAAATATCTTCAAAAATATCGTTGATTTTTAATTTTTATTAAACTTTTATGTACAGACATTTACTAAATTACAGAATAAAACATTTTGATTAATTTTTTTTAACTATAAAACATTCTCGAAGTATTAAACATAACATACAAAAATACCAACAAAATTGTCTGAATTTGAAATTTCATAACCTAAACTTTAAATATGCTTCTGGGTACTTCCTAGTGTTAAATGAAACTTTTTAAATACTTACAAAAAATTTTTACGCCTTAAACAAAAGTTTTTTGTTTCAGAGACACCTACAATGCTTCACGTAAGGGTTAACAAGTTTGCGGGAATTTTTTCTGAGAAATTCCCGGGAAATTCCCGGGAGTCTCCCGGGAACTTTTTCACATTGTTTAAATGAAATTATAGAAATTATAATTAAAAATTTCAACTCCAGCTTTTCTAATGCAATTTATACTATACATCTTATACTTTTGAGTCCAGTATCTTCGAAAATTCTCACATCTTTTGCTTTTTTATTAAAATTTTTAAAGGAAAGATTTCATTTTATCAAAATAACAAAACAACTCAAAAAAATAATGTGCATAGTTATTAATTCAGTTTTAAGTTCTAAGTTATCAGACTCAGAATCAATCCCGCAGTCTGATGAATCAGATATTTCAGATGATGATCCTGACCTTTCCATAGAAGTTTGGAAAAATACGAAACGGCAAAATTATGATTTGCAAGATGCAAAAAGGCTTAAAACTTGTAAATAACCAATTTTCATAGAAAAAAACCAAAAAATACAGAATTGTTAAAATTTGATAATAATGATTTGATAAAACAAACCGTGGATTGACGCTAAAGAATTTAGAGAATTAAATATCAATAATACAATTCATATATCAGGAATCGAAATAAACAAATGCAGTCTAAAACTAATTATTAATTATTTTATTGACATCGAAAAATAAAAGCGCACAATATTAACAAAGAACCAGTAACGACCTAGTAAAAAAGGAATTATTGAGCAAGCCATTTAGACAATCGAGCTAGCCGTCTGCTCAATTGTCCAAACGACATCTGGACATAAGGACTGCTTGCTCAATCATCCAATACATTAAGCCCAATCAACCTACACATATTTAGAGGTTACACAAATGAAAAATTGACTTAACTTTACATAAAACTTAATAAAAATTAATAAAAATAGATACATTTTGATAATTAAACTGTAAAAAATCTGTAATTGCAAAACACGACCAATTTTATGAAATATTTTTTTAGTTACTGTGAGTGTGATTCGGCAGGTAAAAGTATATTTCTTTACAGACACTCGATATTTATTAATTGAAAATTTCCTTTGTTGAAAAGGAAACAGTCGAATATATTGTATTTTAATGTAATCAAGATTCGCGGTAGAGCCTATACAGTTTAACGGATTCGCATGAAACTTACAAATAATATTAATTAGATATACATTTCAGGAAATTTCAAAACACTAAAAAAATTTAAAAATTTTCAATTTTTTATGAAAAAGAATTTTTTGCTTGATTTTTAGGTAGACGTGGAGCTCATAATTCTTTATTGATTCGCATAAAACTTACCAAAAATATCAATTATGTTTAAGAGCATTTGAACCTTCGTGACGTCACAAATCATGGCGCATGACACGCAAACTTCTCAGGTATGTGAAAAGCACAATTTTGAATATTTTTTAAAAAAACCTTTTGGAAAATGTTCAGAATAACATAGACTCTGTCTGTTATGTGCGGAAAATTCAAAATTTTGCGTTTAAAACGTTTTTTAAACAATGTTAAGGTCACAAATTATGGCGCATGACACGCAAACTTCTCAGGTATGTGAAAATCACAATTTTGAATATTTTTTAAAAAAAACCTTTTGGAAAATATTCAGAATAACACAGACTCTGTCTGTTATGTGCGAAAAATTCAAAATTTTGCGTTTAAAACGTTTTTTAAACAATGCCTACATATAAGCAATTCGTGTATTTTTCCTTACTTGTGACAACCAACTTAAACATTGTTTAAAAAACGTTTTATACGCAAAATTTTGAATTTTTCGCACATAACAGACATAGTCTATGTTTCTCTGAACATTTTCCAAAAGGTTTTTTTAAAAAATATTCAAAATTGTGTTTTTCACATACCTGAGAAGTTTGCGTGTCATGCGCCATGATTTGTGACCTTAACATTGTTTAAAAAACGTTTTAAACGCAAAATTTTGCATTGTCCGCACATAACAGACAGAGTCTATGTTATTCTTAACATTTTCCAAAAGGTTTTTTTAAAAAATATTCAAAATTGTGCTTTTCACATACCTGAGAAGTTTGCGTGTCATGCGCCATGATTTGTGACGTCACGAAGGTTCAAATGCTCTTAAAACTCGATATACCCTATTGAAAAAAACACGTATAATTATACGTATAATAATACGTATAATTACACTACCGTCCGAAATTGTGCGAACTCTGCTTTTTCAACAACTATAAAACTGTTCCAATCTTCAAAAATATTAAAACTAAAATTTTTTCCTCTTTATTTTATTAAAGTTAATAAAATTCTGAAAGAAATGACACCTTGACAAAGAGAATATGTTAATTTTTCAATTAGATATCTAAGAAAAACCCAATTTTCAATGTTTTTACTATTTTTTTTATTTCTCTGGCAAAAATTAATATTTTTAAACGTTCTTAGGCTCATTGAAATCGTATTTTGTTATGCAATTCAAATTATATAAAACAATTCATGTACACATTCCTCCCTAGCGTATGCAAACCGTGAAAGTTGGCTCATAAAATGTCAAAAAATTGTGATTAATATTTATATGACAAAAAATGATCAGTAAAATGTATAAATCTTAAATTTACTTACATAAATCAGAGAAGTTTAGAATGATATATTTACTTGATTTTTAAACATTATATTTTATTGTAGAATTAAATTTAAATTTTTTGACATTTTATGAGCCAACTTTCACAGTTTGCATACGCTAGGGATGAATGTGTACATGAATTGTTTTATATAATTTGAATTGCATAACAAAATACGATTTCAATGAGCCTAAGAACGTTTAAAAATATTAATTTTTGCCAGAGAAATAAAAAAAATAGTAAAAACATTGAAAATTGGGTTTTTCTTAGATATCTAATTGAAAAATTAACATATTCTCTTTGTCCAGGTGTCATTTCTTTCAGAATTTTATTAGCTTTAATAAAATAAAGAGGAAAAATTTTAGTTTTAATATTTTTGAAGATTTGAACAGTTTTATAGTTGTTGAAAAAGAAGAGTTCGCACAATTTCGGACGGTACTGTATACTTGTCAATGTTTTATAATATTTAGGTATATATTAATAAACAAAAATATATTCCATATTTATATATTCCTAAATATTAAAAATTATAGACACGTACAATTATACGTATAATTCTTGTTTCAAATTCGTATGTCTTATTATACGTGTTTTTTTTCAATAGGGTATAATCAAAAAAATGTGAATTCAATACAAAAATTTCAAAATTTTCAATTTTTTAAGAAAAAAAAATGATTTTTTTGATAATTAGACACACCTGGAACCTATAATTCTTTACCGATTCGCATGAAACTTACAATAATATCAATTAGGTTAAAATCTTGATACATAATTGTGGATATTTGAATGCACTCAAGAAATTTTGAAATTTTCACTTTTTTAGATAATAAATCAGATCCGAGTTCAGATTCAGATTCCCGGTCATTTTCCCGAATACTTTCTCCCGGAAAGATATTTCCCCAAATGCAAATCCCCCGATGACCTTTTTCCCGAAAAAGGATTTAAGTATATTCTCCGAAAAAATATTTCATTGAAAACAAAATAAATAAACAAAATGAGCTATTTAAAAAAAAGACGAATGTATTAAACGCATCCAAAAATAGTAAATTATTCTATGCTCGTGGTTAATGCAAAAATAAAGGTTGAATATGGTGGTTTTCGTGAAGAATGTAATTCAAAACGTACACAGCAATCAAGAAATTTTGAAATTTTCACTTTTTTAGATAATAAATCAGATCGCATTAAATAGAAAACAAATGCCTTTATTGACGTAACCTAAATCAGACAAAATTTGTTGTGTTGTTGAAATCTCTAATATTTTCAAAATTAAAGAAGTACATGGAAAAAAATATTTCAGTATATTTTACAAAACTAGTTTCGGAATTTCGGATACGGAGAGGAGTTTAGTATTAGTTAATCCGGTTGATACTGTAACTGCAGACAGTAACGGAGATGCAAAAGGAAGGTAGAATTCACGTTCGCTAGAAGCATAAACTTGCGTTTCCGTATGTATCCCTCGCTTAGACTTTCCAAGGTCGGTGTCAATGTCGCTTTTGGAAAATTAATTTAATATAATAGAAAATGTTTAGGTTTGAAATAAGAAATGTTAAAATTATTAAGTTAAAAACAATTTATTTAAATGAAACTTAAAATTAGGTTCAATAATATAGGTTCGTAACCAAAAATTTGAAAAACAACAATAAATAATTTAAAAAAACATTAAAAAATTGGTAAAAAATTGTTTTCGAGTAACTCTTCAAAAATAGAGTATTTTTATAGGTATATATCCAAAAAATCGTCAAAAATTGCTTAAAATTGCAAAATAATCCTTTTTCGGGCTAAAATTGCAAAAACATGTTACAAAAAAAGGTATGTAAGATTTTCCAAAAACATATGGCGGAGGAATTTGATTTATTTGAAAAATAAATGAAAATACATTTTCCAAGGTCGGTATCGGTGTCGCTTTTGGAAATTTGTTAACTTAATATAATAGAAGATTGTTTTTTTGAGATTGGAGTAACTTACATTTGATAAAATTTAACTTATATGAAAAATTTGTATTGTTATTAACAATTTTTTTTATTTATATTTATGTACATGTTTATGAACTACAAAGAAATAAAGAATATCCTTTTGTACATTTTACTCGAAAATAATAATTAAAAGAAAAAAGTAAAACCAGTGTTGTTGGAAACTAGATTTGCTTCTATAAAAAATCTTTATTAAAATTAAATATACGAACTGGCAGACACTTTTAAAAGGATTAACTGCAGAAGTCCTTTAAAAAAGTCTATAAAATTTTTCCAAGAGTTTGCTTATGAGTGACAACTCATACTCGATTTCCACATTTCTCTCAGCTTAACAATGTTTAAATAAATGTGAACTTAACTTTTCATGACATAACAATCGATCTACTGATTGTTGCATGTTTTGAAAATGTTTTACAATTTATTTTTATTATTTAATACGTACTCACTTAACTTATAATAATTATGTACATCTTCTATAATTTTTCACTTGTTTAATTGTATGCTAAGGAAGTTTCTGGTTGAGTCCAAATATATCCAGTTTTTGTTATACTACAATGAGCATCGTAATATCTGCCAGGAGCTCTACAATACGACCAGTTCGGACATCGACATCTAAATTTAGTATGAAATTCTTCTTTACAAACTTCATTCCACCAACATGTTCTCTAGAACAAAAAATACAGAGCACAGTTGAAATTTTAGAATTTATGGGATTATTGTGAACTCGTAAAAAATAGTAATTAAAAATATATCATAAAATAATTTACAACTTCACTCCAAGTGTAAAGTTGTAAGCATTCGGTGGTAATAATTCAGTGGGAATACGTATATGCATACGCTTTCCGTATTATGAGGCCCACGCCCTCCCTTCTCCAGCGCGTCATGCCCTTCGTCTCTCGCCTAACACTTTCTTTAGTTTCATGTTTACCGGATACCTCGCGCGGTGTATTTTCCACTTAAAATGTTTAAATAAAGGGTTGTTCGCGGGACCAAACACAATTTCTCTCATTAAATAGACTTGCGCTTTTATATCAAGCACGATAGCGTGTCAATATATATAAACACTTCAAGACAATTTTTCTCTTTTTTTTGTTAATAAAATTTATAAAAACATATCTGTTCAGTCTTTTGCCTCTATTGAATTACACTTATGGCATATCACGTCAAAATAATAGAAAAAACAAAAGGATATTTTCAATAAGTACATTAATGAAGAGGCCCATTAAGGTTTCAATTCGTCCACTATTGGAAGCAATTGTTCGTGAATTGGAATGGGAATATAATGAAAAGAGTTTTGATTCATTAAAACAGTAACATAAAAAAAATCTTCGACTCCTGCCCTGTGGGCAAAAAACCATGTTCGTTCTTAAAACGTGTTAAGGACGTTTTTAGAACGTTTCATGTCCGCCAAATAATGTTCTGGAACATTTTAAGAACATGGATGTTCAAATAATGTTCCAGAACATTATTTGGTAGACATGAAACGTTCTTAAAACGTTTTTAGAACGAACATGGTTTTTTGCCCACAGGGTGGACAATCATGAGAGTCGGGATATTTGCACCGAAGATAAGACCAAGTTTGGGATTCAAAAATCTGCACCATTTTCTCATTATTGTCACGTATATTTAAGTGATGAATACCAAAAGCCCATTGGCACATCCAACAGGAGCCACCAGTCAATATTTTAAAGATATTGTGCCTTCCGCACCCAACGCATCCACGCTCTAGTCTAATATTTGTATTCGAAGATAGAAAATGTAAGGATTTGAGTTCTCCCAATTCATAATTAGGAATATTTCCATTCCTGAATCATGTATTGCATCTCCAAATGCCAATGTTTTCATTTGAAGACACCCAAACTTTAGCGGACATATGCACAAAAGGAGTTTCGTTTTCTTGGAGGATATACGTACATACATACATATATATACACATACAAACATAAACATTTTTGCAAAATTAAAATAAATAAATAATCGAGGGGGAATTTACTCTGGTAGTCAAGTGTACACTTGCCTGGTAATACTCGGTAATACTCGGTAATATCTGTAATATTTTGTAATGTCTTGTAATGATAAGTATTACTGTGTAATACCATGTAATACTGTGTAATACTTGTAATATTGTGGTATTATGGTGTAATACCTTAAAAAATTTAAAGAAAATCAAACCAGAAAATGTTAATATAAGTAATAATTTTAAACACTTATTCAAATGTAGCGCGGGAGTTGATGCTGAAGTATAGCAACTTTGCCATAGGTGGCGGTATCGAATGTTTACAGAACACGACAGCAGACGACAGTTTCCAGCTTAGTTTTCCAGTGACAACGAAAATAAAAGTTTTATCTAGGTATATTTTATTATTACATGTAATTATAATTAATAATACTAAATTATTGATTTTATAAGTTGTATAACTTAAATAGAAGACGGTAAATTGTGACGTTTGGTCCGTTTATATATTTTAAATCGATATTAAAATAAAGAGGTTAGTTTTGTAAATATTGATGATGATATTAATACAAATTAATTACATAAATTCTATTTATTTACAGGCAATGGATAATCTATGGAGCATTTTCGAGGAAGAATCAATTTTTATTCCTGAATATTTAAAATTAATTCTGTCGGTTACGAATTATGACAATTTGTTCAATTTGGAACGATTTACTAAAGATGATAAAAAAAATTGAAAATTTCATGCAAACCACTTTGCATGTAATAATTAAAGAAGAAGATCGTGGAAAATATTACGGTATTTTTAAAGATCATCCTGAAAAATTCATGTTTGCTGGAGGTCTTGAACGAGCCATGTCAGAAACAGTAAACATAGCGAAGAAAATTGCTTTAAAAAATAAAAAAACTAAAAATGTTGTTTCTGATGATTCTTCTGGCTCAACATCAAAGGTGGTTAAATCTCACGAAAAAAATAGTCAGAAAGAAAATACCAGCACTGTAATAGATTTAAAACTTACATTGGATAAAAATGTGAACAAATTTATCGAAGAAAATTATTCTAGACAAGATTTGCCTCCAGCTGAAGTAGCAGAAGATGGTCTTGGTTGTTATGTTGCTACATTGGAATGTCCATTTCCTAAGTGTGGAAAAGTGATTAAAATTACAAGAAATGGAAATAGATGGAACACGTCAAACTTTTATAAGCATATTAATTTGCATTCTCAAAAACAAGAAGCTAGTAAAAAAAGAATTTACTATTAAAGTGTTTGATAAATTGCAGGAAAAAAATTTAAACAAGATCAACGAGGCAACTATAGAAGGAAACGACGAGAGAAATGATCAGGGAAATAACATGAAACCTAGTTTAAAACGAAAAAGGATTCAGACTCATGATTCAACCAGTGATTTTTCTTCTGATGAGGATAAAGTACAGTCTAAGTCACAATCAAATAAAGTAGCTTCACACTTAGAAAATGAACATTTAAACAACACTCAAGAAACATCTGACATTACTTCTACTGGTGAAAACTCAAATTTTCGGAACTTGGAGAAGGTACAGGAGTGGTAACTCTTCTCCACAGAACTAAAACAAATCAAGATAATAAATCACGCTCCGCACGAAATCAAAGAAAATTAATGTTTGCTTCTCTAAGTTGGCATAAAATCGATGAATATGGAAAAATTTTAAACGAAATGGAAATAGTTCTAATGCAAAACGAAGATCTTAAAAATAAGCTCGTAACGGTCATGAGATCTAATTCAAAATCCAAACAGCCTACGAATGTTAGTAATGTGCTACAATTATTGCTTGATTCTGCCAAGATTAATGCCGATAAAAATCCAAATGGAAGACGTTACTGTACTGTTATAAAGGAACTTGCTTTTATTATTTATTCAATTGGTGGATTATCTATTTATGAAATTCTTTCAGCAAATTTATGTTTGCCTTCAATTTCGACTGTTAGGAAACAAATTTATAGCAATAAGGTTTTAATTGAAGGTGAATTTCGTATTAAGGAATTGAAACTATTTCTTCAGGAAAGACATTATCCACTTAGAGTGCACATCTCTGAAGACGCCACACAAGTTAACGGGCGCATTCAATATCATTCGGCCACAAATCAAGTTGTTGGTTTTACTCTTCCCTTAGATTCGGATGGGATTCCTATAGTAGGTTCATATCTTGCTAGTTCAGCTGAAAAAATGTGCAATTATTTTGACGAATGTGATACTAGCAATTACGTGTACTGTATAATAGCTCAACCACTCTGTGATAACGCATCAGTATTCTGTTTGGCTATGTTCGGAACTAATAATAAGTTTACTGCATCACAAGTTCTAAAAAGGTGGGAGTGGATGGAAAAAAATTGAAAGAAGAGGATATTGAGATAGTAGGCTTCTCTTCGGATGGGGACACTCGACTTTTAAAAGCAATGAATTTTCGCGTTATTACACCGTTACCTACAAAATCGTGGAAGTGGTATCAAGCTGATCACTTAGTAAAATATTTACATATTCAGGACCATATTCATATTGGCACGAAATTCAAAAGTAGACTTCTCAAACCATCAGTAATTTTACCTCTTAGCAAAAAATGTGTAGTTTCCAGTGGTCACCTTATTGAGTTAATACAAACCACAAGTAAAGACCAACACGAGCTTTGTTTAACGGACATTAATCCAAGCGACAAAATGAACTTTCGAGCAGTTCAAAAAATGTGTGACAAAAGAGTTCCAACGTGCTTACATTGCTTACATGCTTACATTTTGCCTGAACTAAAACCTTTGGAACGAATTGAAATGATCTGGGAATGGATTTTTTTCTTAAGATTGTGGAGAGCGTGGATTTTAGAACAAGATGACTACACTTTGAGTAACAACTTCATCACATCAAATACGTATTCAAGGCAAGTGCCTTGAAATAAATACTCATTGCCTAATTCAAGCAATAATTAAATTTCGAGAAGAAAAAGAGCCTAGTTTGTTTTTGCCTTGGTTGATGTCCAGTCAACCTTGTGAACAAACTTTCAGAAAATTAAGATCAACAACAACTCATTGTGGTGTAGTTTCGTTTTCAATCTTAGATCTGCAGAACCATTTTAGGCGAATCGATTTGTTATCATCAACGTTCTTAAAATTGGGGAATGAATTTTCTTTTCCTAGGCATCATAAAGCTTTTAAGGTTTCTGATGTTACACCTTACATTCCTACTACCCTACCGGAAAATTAGGAAATTGAAAATTCAGTACAAGTTGCTCTCGATCGTGCTATTAAAAGAGCATACAATTTTGATTTAATTAAAAAAAATAGATCTTCTGTTCCAGAACCTGATTTGCGTGTAATATCTCCAACCGAAGTAGATATGAATACAATGGATGATGTTTACTTGGATGAAGATAGTAATGAAAATCTCGATGAAAATGATCTCAATGGTGCTGATGATAATCAAGAGCTGAATGGTGATACTGATTATATCCAGGAAATTGATAATGAGCTGGATCAAGAGGTGGAATTAAATGACGTCACCGAGGACCTATTCATTGTTTCATCTGGTGCTTTGGGTGTCAAAACTTTCAACGATGTAAATATTAATGATAGTAGTCCATTTGTTAGAGTAGCGGATGGTAGAGGCAATCCTGATATTATTAAAAAGCAGACTTTATTATGGCTAAGAAGCTCTGGAAATTTGAAAATTAGTTCGGATAGA